CATATATATATAGAAGGTAAATAGTAAACATTTTGTATGCATTATATGCATTAATTTATCTTTTCCAATTTAAAATGTAATTTATGTATATATATTTACCAGTGTAATGTGCAGTTTCCAGTTTTAAGTGGACCCAATCCTGATGGTAATATTACTGAAAATTATAAAGATACATTCTAAAGAATTCCATGAATCACAGGTATATTTTTTAAAGGATCAAATGCATAAAAGTCTTTGATCTAGCTCATAATTGATCTTGTTCTTTTTTTTTAAGATTTTATTTATTTGACAGAGAGAGACACACAGCAAGAGAGGGAACATAAGCAGGGGTAGTGGGGTTGGGAAGCAGGCTTCCCGCTGAGCAGGGAGCCCGCTGCGGGGCTCGATCCCAGGACCCTGGGATCATGACCTGAGCCGAAGGCAGATGCTTAACAACTGAGCCACCCAGGGGCCCCTCATAATTGATCTTGTTCTTAATTCACTCTTTCTGTATTGACCTCTTCCCCCGTATTCTTGTTAGATATCAAATATCTTACTAAGCCTAGTATTGTGCACAAGTAAAATATATAGTGTCCAGCACAATTCAGCAGCCTCTTAACTTGCTCATCAGTTTATAGGTATCACGGGATTAAAAATAGCTTAGCCATCTGTTAACTGACCAAACAATTTTAGTAGTGTGAAAGGGCGTGGTAGGAGACAGGGACCTAGGGCCTAGGTATTCTGTCAGAGCAAGGCTCAGTGCAGAAACCACCTCGTGACCTCTTAATACTGAAACTTAAGAGTCAGTTCAAAATTAGGAAGAGATTTGGTGGAGGTTAAGCATAGCAGAGTCCCAATAGTAGGGGATTTCCCAGAATATAGGGTGACAAAAGAATTTCAGCATTTTAATTTTCACTAAATTTTTTTAGAGAAAAGAATATAAAGATATAAATTCTATAAAACTTATTTATCATGTTATATATTTATGTAATATATAATGTGTAACAAATTTTTTAGAAATCAGCCTTAATTAATTAGGCTTTTACATTTTACTCTCTAATTAGGAAAATCAGTAGACTTGCAGTCATCTCGAAGTGAATCTGAAATTGTGCCAAAAGTTGCTAAAATGACTGTGTCTGGAAAGAAGCAAACTATGGGATTCGAAGTGCCTGGGTAAGTTCTTAAGCCCTCCCCATCTTTTTTTTTTGGAAATTGGTGTTGTCTTCCACTTGACTATAAGAAAGAAAATCTATTTTAATAAATTTTGCAGGATGTGTCATTAAGGTTGAAGTATCATGGGTCCTCAGTGTGACATGGTACAAAGAAAAGGGGATGGGAAATTAGGCTTGATACTAAATATGCATGTTACTTAATCTGATACACTGTCAGTTTCCTCATGTTAATTAAATAATTTTTAGCAAAAACCCTCTATTTTGTGAATTCTAGCACTCTGAGCTAGGGAATCCTTCTACCACTAGATGGTGTAGGTAAGCAGTGTGGGAATTAAATGTGGTTGGTGAATCATGTAATTATTAATTAAAAATTTTTTTTCTAACTGTGATCTTTACTTTTTTTTTAAGCTTTTATTTATTTATTTGACAGAGAGCCAGTGAGAGAGGGAACACAAGCAGGGGGAGTGAGGGGGCGGGGCAAGGCGGGCTTCCCGGCTGAGCAGGGAGCCCACTGTGGGGCTGGATTCCAGGAGTTTGGGATCATGATCTGAGCTGAAGGCAGATGCTTAACAACTGAGCCACCCAGGCGCCCAGTAACTGTAATCTTTAAACTCTTTTAGATTGTCGGGTTGAATTAAATGGATCACTAGAACAAAGGCACAAAATACAAAATGAAACATACCTAGAATTTCAAATCTGGTGAGAAATTATAGATGTTACATTAGTAGCACTCACTTGTTCTTAACATAATCTGGAGGATCCTCCCAAGAGTTTTTGTAGGCAAGGGAAGTTAGTTGCTTGAGGCTTTAACAGCACAGTTAACTTAAATCCATTACTTATAAATTACATATATTTTGTCTGTCATTTAGATAGATAAGAATCACTGTTATCAAATATAAACAAAAAATAGAGGATTTTTTTAAATTTTAAGAAATAAAAACTAAGCAGCCTTATTTTTTTCTCCCTTACAACATTGTTCTCTCTAAATTAATGGAAGCTTCATGAGTCTTGGTTGTGAAGAATCTTCATGATCACTTAGTTCAGTTTTTTTTATTTTATAAAAGCAATACTTTATTTAGATTCCAATTCAGTGAAGGAAGGAACTCCATATCCAGGACAGAGTAAGTGTTCAGTGTATGTTGAATGATTGGATGAATGAAATTTTAATGAGTGACATTTAATGAATTAAAATGAATGACATTTTAATTTGGGTAACTGTATCCCATTACAATAATTTTGAGTCCTCATTTAATTACCAAAAGCTTAATATATGTCTTTTCTCTCTGAGCTGGGGTTGGGTTAGTCAGAATCATAAATTTATTATTCTTATGTCTTGGGAACCATTTAATCCTAAAATGGGATTATTTCCATTGATAGGGAAAAAAATAAATAGAATGTGCAATACCTTATTCTAAGAATTTTATAATCTTACTGCAAAAGGTTTTGGAAATTTTAGGGCAAATAAGCCCAAATTAACGTATATTAGATGTAAGTGCATAGTTATCTGTGGGAATAATAAAAAATAATGGATAATAAATGATCAAGAAAAAAACAGTAAGTACAAGTAAATAATTCTTGACAACCTAACTCTGTTGTATTTCACAAGTGTACTGCAAGCCTTTCAGAACCTTACAAGACTATGTGCTTCATGAGGACAGGGACCATTAATGTTCATCATCATATTTCTTCTCATAGAATAGTTTATTTATTGATCAGAGTCCTTGGGGAAATACATTTTATTTTAAAAATAAACTTGGAGGGGCGCCTGGGTGGCTCAGTTGGTTAAGCGTCTGCCTTCGGCTCAGGTCATGATCTCAGGGTCCTGGGATGAGTCATGGGGCTCCCTGCTCAGCGGGGAGCCTGCTTCTTGCTCCTTCTTTTTTCTTTTTTAAAGATTTTATTTATTTGAGAGAGAGAGAATGAAAGAGAGAGAGCACAAGAGGGGGGGAGGGTCCGAGGGAGAAGCAGACTCCCTGCTGAGCAGGGAGCCTGTTGCGGGACTCGATCCTGGGACTCCAGGATCATGACCTGAGCTGAAGGCAGTCGCTCAACCAACTGAGCCACCCAGGTACCCTCTCCCGCTCCTTCTGTTGTTTACTCTGCTTGTGCTCTCTAGCTCTCTCTGTCAAATACATAAATAAAATCTTAAAACAAACCAACCAACTTGGGAAAATGTAAAGGTGATAAAACAGTCTGTGAATCAATATTTTGTTACAGCTCTAGGAGAGAAGTCATCAGAACATGAGAGGTCTGTAGGTACAGATCAGGATACTCAGAAATGCATAATATTGCTGAAGGACCAAGCTATATTTGTGTCAAATACTTATATAGGATTTTTAACAAGTTTATACTGAGGATAATACTTAGGCTGTTGTTCTGATTTGATTAATGAAACACTTCTGAGTCAAGATTTCAGCATCATGAATACCTACATAGTGTGATTCCCAATGGCAGCTCATGAAAAAGGGGTGATGCATTGCTTAGAAGAAACTAAAACAGCAAACTTTTTCTTCACTAATATTAAAGATGGTAAATACCTCTCTAGAAAAAGTATAAATGGTTAGAACCTTGCATAGAAAACTCTTAAATTTAAATTAGTTTCCCAGTCTCATTTAAATAAATGAAGAAGAAAAATTAAGCCTGTAGATTCATGTAGAAATACTCCTACTTTTGGAAAGATGGTTTAGGAAAAACACCAGAGTAGTCATTTTATAATAATAGATAAGTTTACAAAATTGTATCAGAAAGCACTTGAAAAAAATTCAACCACTTTACTCTTTTTTTCATATCAGTTAGTAGTTAACAATCTTTTTAGGTCTCATCTTAAAGATTTTTCAAAACCTTAAAATACTGAATTTTACCTCATAATATGTAGTAGTTTTTAATAAGCACAAACTTAACCTAGGATGCTTTTCTAATTACTTTGGTCACTTCTTTCTAACACTGTATAATTTAGTGAACTAATTTGTATTTTACCTAGAATTTATTTGAATGTTTTCATGAAACCAAGAGAAAAGCAAACCTTTCATTTTAATGAGTTGTAAATGAAACGATCAAGTCAGACCCATGCTTTGTGAAGCCCTTCAACTGCTGGGCCAGCTGAGCTTCTGGGCCCTACCTGCTGTCAGCCATAGCCATTCTGCTTGGATCTCTTCTCTGTACTGGAGTTAACATAAGCTTTCCTTTGAAGAAAAGCTTCTGTAACTAAAAACAGAGATTTGAAACCAGAAATTGTGATTTCTCCCAGGTCGGAGCAGAACCATAGCCCATGTCTAGTTATTTTGGTTGAACACTTTTGTTAGAATTTGTAGGGGTTTTTTCAACTTGTCTAAATGCAGAGTTGTCATGTTTTGGTTTTAGAACTAGCTGTGGTCATTCAAATGTTTGCAAATTATAGTCTTAAGATTTCACTTAATTTAACCTGTTGGAATCCTTTAAAAGAACTGGACGGTTTCCCACATACTTAAATTTTTTTCCCTGTGGATCTAGATGAAGCCAATCTGCCTACGTGGTGTTAACAAAGAACACCAAAATTGTTAGTAGAGATTTACAAAAGCAAGAGGAAAGGGGAGTGGGTATGAGGTTTTTAATGCAGTTGCAAATATAACTAATGGGACTCTTTCCTGAGGGCTAGGATGAAGGGTCAGTGTTCAGCACATAAAAGTGCCCTGAGAGGGAAAAATGATTCTGTTTTTTTGTGCAGTGGACAAGAAGAAAATAATGTACTATTCTCACAGAAACTGCTTTTTGTATGTAATTCTTTGCCAGTTCCAAATTGAATTGAATAGGATTGGTTTCATTCTTAATAACTTGCAATTTGACCTGTTCTTTGGCCTGTTTCTATTTATCTATGTCACTGAAAGGAATGTAAAGTCTGTTGTAGGCTGGTTGATTAGATCACATTGCTGCTAGCTGTCCATGGGATAGATAGCACTGATACAGTTTCTGTAGATAACAGTCAAAGAGCTAATGAACTAAGGTCAGTGTTTACTTTTGGGGGCATCATCATTATCAAAGAGCAAGTAAGTTATGCTAGATGGCCTGGTTTCTACTTTATATATTTGAGTCCCTCACTGGATTGTAAGCTTTTGGGATTAGTAGATAAATTTCTCATCTCCATCTTTTCTTCTCAGCATCAATGCCTAGTAGAAGTTGTAGTTTTTAGAAAATCAAGTATTAGTTGAATTAATGAATTAAAAATTTCTTTGCTGAAAGTATTAAGAAAATGTAGACAGAGTTACCTCCCTTAAGGGTAGTGTTTGAGCAAAAAAGATTGTTAAGTCTCTGTCCTGTTGGAAGAATGAGTTAGGGATGAAACTATTTTTTTAAAATACTACTTTATCTTTAGGAAGACATTTAGAGCCAGGTTTTACAAAATATCTCCATTATGCCATCTGTTTTGACAGGACTGTATGGCTAAGGCTATGGCCCTGAATTCTGTTATTTTATAGGATATTTTTTTCTTATCTTACTGTTTGCTGGACTGTTTTTCTCCTGGGATCCTCCACGTCTGTCTGTATTTGTGTGGTTTGGGTCTAGCTAACTTGTCATTTCCACCTTAATAGACTAGCCACTTAGCAGAGATCATTTTTGGTCTGCAAGTGTAAGGAATAAGAAGAGACAACTCCTCTGCCCTTCTGACCTTATAGGATGTCAGTTGAGTTGGTTTAAACACTTTTTTTCCTATCTCTGTTTTCTGTAGAGTAACTGAAGAAAATGGTCACAGTTTCCACACACCTCCAAAAGGACATCTTAGTGAAGGAACCGGCATTGCTGCTTCTGATGTTCTTGACACTGTTTCTAAATCAGTTCTTCCATCCCACACCATTCAAACATCAGAAGAGCAGAGTTCAGCACCAACGCCGGTGAAAAAGTCTGGCAAGCTGAGGCAGCAAATAGATGTCAAAGCGGAACTGGAGAAGCGGCAGGGCGGGAAGCAGCTCCTCAACTTGGTGGTCATTGGTAATGTGTTTTGCTCCTCTGAGTGCCCGGTCGCCTCTGCCTTAGCCTGGCCGCTTCCTGGTGGCAGCACGGACGCTCGTTCCCGCTCTGAGTTTCTGTCTGGGTGTAAATGGACACAAGCAAGGAGGCATCACATCATAATGCTTTCTGGTCACCCTGGGGGAAATAATGCCAAGTTACCAACGAGGTCATTAGACTTGCTTGTGGCATTTTCATTTTGTGAATGTTTCCAAAATGCCATGTCTTATTGACAGTTTGTATGTCCAAAAGTCAAGGAAATGTCCCCCTCTCTAAAGAGACACAGTTTTTTCTCCATTTACTTTAACTATCATTTGATAAACATTGGTATTTATTACTCTGAACACTGACATGAACTATTGGATTACATATTCACGCAATGCCTCAATGTGAACAGCGTCTGAAAATGTACTGAGTATTAATCCTGAATCAATTTTCCTTAGGTCATGTTGATGCTGGGAAAAGTACTCTGATGGGCCATATGCTTTATCTTCTGGGTAATGTAAACAAAAGAACTATGCATAAGTATGAACAAGAGTCTAAAAAGGCTGGCAAAGCTTCGTTTGCATATGCATGGGTCTTGGATGAGACTGGCGAAGAAAGGGAAAGGTAGTCACTATATTTCAAAATTTTCAGTTTGAAATGATATATAATCTTTTAAATAAGTATGTAGTATGTGTTGAATATGTATGAAACATGCCATGAAATATTTTAGAAACTTCTTTTAGAGAAAAGCTTTTAATTATCAGGGAAATATTTTTATTATAGTTTCCATTATGTCTATATACATTTTCTACTCTTCCAAATTCTATGAGAATAGTTGAAAAGAATGTTTATAAACAAACAAACAAAAACCGCACACAGAAAAAGGCAGTAAAAAACCTTAGTTACTTATTCTGTGGGAGAAGTTTCAGTTGTCCCTTCCCTAAGTATATGTCAGATTGACTTGATTTCTTTTTTTAAAGATTTTATTCATTTATTTGACAGAGACACAGAGAGAGAGGGAACACAAGCAGGGGGCGTGGGGGAGGGAGAAGGAGGCCTCCTGCTGAGCAGGGAGCCTGATGTGGGACTCCATCCCAGGACCCTGGGACCATGACCTGAGCCGAAGGCAATCGCTTAAACGACTGAGCCACCCAGGCGCCCAAATTGACTTGATTTTGAATTAAAATTATGAATAAGGCTAAATTTTATATAAGGTAACTTTAAGGACAGGTAACTTTTTGTAGTAAACTGTCTTGTCTGGAACTAAAATGACCAGTAAATTTAAATTATCAGACTTAATTCATCTTCATACTTTCTGTAGTGTTTTTATATGAGATAGAGTCAACAAACTAGTAATTAGACTTACTTCCTACCGTAGGGATTTAACCTAGTCTATTGCTGTGCCCAGTGCTAACTCTGCAGGAGAGAACAGCTACTCATATACCTCTGGCCAAAGTATTTCTTCTCTTTTCTTTTATTTTAAAGATTTTATTTATTTGACAGAGAGACACAGCGAGAGAGGGAACACAAGCAGGGGGAGTCGGGGAGGGAGAAGCAGGCTTCCTGCAGAGCAGGGAGCCTGATGCGGGGCTCAATCCCAGGACCCTGGGATCATGACCTGAGCCGAAGGCAGATGCCCAACGACTGAGCCACCCAGGTGCCCCCAAAGTATTTTTTTTGAGGTCTTTTTAGAGTGGTGGTATGTATCATGTCAGAACTGTCCAGGCGGGGGGAGCCAATGGCACCTTTGTCAGGAAAGGATGGGGACAGCTACTAAGTGAAATGGCAGGTATATCAACTGTGTCAAAATAATGACTAAAGACTCTGAAGTCCTCTGAAAGTCCTAAATCAACCAAGAAATTATCCCATGTTCCCTATCTTCCTTCTGAGTATGATTAGAGAATATATTTGGATTTTCATACTTTAAAAAAAGTGTGTATTTATTTTCTTGCGGAGTCTTGAATAGCCTACATTATAATATATAAGGTAGTTCTCAATAAAGGGTCACAATATTCCTTAGCTCTTCTGATAAACAGAATTTTATATCATGGTGGGTTGTTTTTTTTTTTTTCTTGTAGGTGGTCTTTTTTATTCTATATCACATCATAAGCTTGTTTTCCAACCTCGTAAGGAAAATTAGTTGGTTGCAAATTTTTGGAAAATGAATATTGGAAAACAGTGGAATTTTTGTATGATGTCAGTGTTAGAAGACTAAATAATTTCCATCTACCAGCTTACCAAGCAGATTTTTAAAATATATGGCTCTTTAGTTATATTTGTGTCATCTGCTAAGTAGGTAAAGAGATTGAGAACAGTAAAATTTAAGTTAGAATAACTTGTTTGAATTTACTTAATATGTGCATGGAGCTGGCAAGTGAGCTAATTATCTAATTCCTAGAATAGTCAATAATTTTACTGGGGTTTTTATTTTTATTTTTTATTTTTGATAATACATCTACTGGTTGGCTATTACATTTTTGCTGCTTGTAGTTTTCTGTTGCTCAGCATGATGCAGTTTTAGAATATTCCTTGGTTCTGTAGATAGCAGATGCTTCTAGATACATAATGAGAGTTTTAACTCACCACTGTATGTTCCTTAATAGCATTTCAAAAATACAGTGTGTTATCCCACCACGTTAAGTATTTATAAATCATCTATTCTCAGATGTTGAACAGAAATTAGTAAAATGAGTGACATTTATATATCCTTAGGGTTACAAATGCAGACCAGAGCTGGCTCAAGAGTGTATTCTGGTCAAAGCAGTCTTAGGGAGGAGCTCAGAATAAGTCTTGGTTCACCAGTATTCTAGGCAATTATTTGAAGATTATTAGAGAGAATTAAGCATCATTTTCACCAAATCAAATGGCCCATTGTTTAAGCTAGAATGACTTGACCAACCAGACCCACAGTTACTGCTCGCTCTGCTAGGGGAGACACATAAATTATTATCATTGTCAGAACACTTGATAGTAAAAGGGAGTGCTCATTCCTTATTTTGGACTGTTTGGGGCAAATCAGGATGAATGATTACCCAGTTTATTGCCCACCCGATTTCCCTTTCCTGATGTCTGGAAAGACTCAGTACCTTTGTAGACTCTCCCTGGGCTTTCTTACAAGCTGAACCTACATTTTTGTGGCTAAGAAGAGGCCTGTGTTGGTCTCTAAGAAGGACGAAACAGGATGGGAAACAAAACTACTGTTTATCTCTTGCAGTTTTTTTCTCCTTTGATATTTCTTTTTTTTCTAAATGTATAACATACTGACCTACCTTGCAAATGAAAGTTTTATGTTTATTTTTATAATTAGTGAAGCATCTACATATGAAGATGAGGAAAACTTCCTCCCGATAGTGGTCATGCTCCACGTTACCGTCTCATGTGCAGTATTTACTGTTTCCTCCTCCAGGTGTCCCCATATATCTTTGTTTGCTCACAGTCTACCTAGCCTTTTACCAAAGGAAAAAAAAAGAGAAATGGGAAATATCCAGCATTTTGATTAAGCTCTTGCTGTATCCACAGCCTTATTTTAAAGCCATACACGTGAAATTTTGTTACAGCAGAGATTCTAGCCCCAATTGATAGCTTAATTTGTCAAAATAATAGACAGTGTAATAAAATTCCCATTATTTCTTAAGAATTTAGACTGTCATTTAGCTTATATTATTAAGTAATTTAGTCCATAGCACTGATGATTTCTATAGTGCGTTCTAACCATTTTATGTTTTCTTTAAGGGGAGTAACAATGGACGTTGGTATGACAAAGTTTGAGACCACAACCAAAGTTATTACATTAATGGATGCTCCGGGCCATAAGGATTTCATTCCAAATATGATTACAGGAGCAGCCCAGGTACCAGATATTTCCTGAATTATACTACACTGATTGTACATACAATTTCCTGATGCTGAGCTTATAATTCTAGGATTATAACTTTTAAAATATTTTGAAATTAAAAATTTTAACTTTTGAAAAATTTTGAAAAAATAAAGATTGTATTTTTATGATCTTATTGGTACCATATAAAAGTTTTTCTAATAATTATATAGAAGCAAATGTATAAAAGCTATGAATTTCTTATAGTAAAAATAATGGTAAAGTACTGGATGAGATATAGCTTTATATTATATTAATTAATAAGTTGGAGTGAATATTTCAATATCTGCCTTTTTGCTGTATTTATATTAAAGGCCTGTATCTTTTAAAAGCACTGATTTATGCAGAAACAGTGAAGCTTGGGAGTTTTGCCCCTGTGGTTTATTTACTTTCTTTGTAGGATTAAAAAATAGTTGCAACTTGTAGAATTACATGATTCTTAAGGATATGGAAAAAAATCAAAGATAATAACTTTAAGTAATTAAACAATAAAAATAGCACTGCACATAGAGGACATGGATTTTTTTTTAATAAAAGATGATTATTGGAAAATGTGAAGAGTTCAAAAGTTTGCCTGTGTCATTTGGCAATAAGTGTGACTTAAGCAATTGGCCATTTTCTGAGTTCTTAACATCTATTTAAAGGGAATGTTAATATGAGCATTCGTCAACCTAAAAAGGGTGTTATATAAATAAATTAGAATATATTTGAAGATAAATGAGAAAATATTCTGTTTTAGGAAGTTGATACATAATTTCAGAATATTAATTTAAGGTCCATGGACTGAACAAGATATTGAAGACTGAAAAATAATTATCACTCTTGACTGAGTACCAGATATGGACTAGACACTGTATGAGGTGTTTTGTATACACTTAGTTTAATCCTTATAATGAAGGTGCATATTATCCCTGTTTTATTTTACTTTTTTTAAAGATTTTATTTTTAAGTAATCTCTCCACCCACGGTGGGGCTCGAACCCACAACCCCGAGACCAAGAGTTGCAT